ATATACAAGAAGATAGTAATCATACTGTACATAATGACCTGGGGATATGCATGATAGGAAGGTCATAGAAAAATTTGTGTGTGAATTAATGAAAGAAGTCGTTTCCTATAGCAGTATGTGTCTGTTTTAGAGAGAATTGAGTAGGGGGGAAGATCCTCACTACATACTTTTAGGTCGTACAATTTATCTGGTCTGGCTGAGCTGTCGTGGTTGCCATGGTAACCAGGGGCCTGGGGTCATTCGCAGTATGTTTATTGGGTGAGGGGTCTGTGACTATTTGTTAATCTAATGAATAATTGATTTGTTAAATCTAATGAAAAATGCTGTGTCTGATTGGTCCAAATGCTACACTTGTAAAATCATTAGATTGAAAACATTTACATTTCATAAAAGTGTGTAAATAATAAAAATGCAGTTCAAAATTGACTTTCTTTAAATGCAAATGCATTTGTGTAGTAAAGCACGTACTCAAAATTTTCAGTCAAAAGATTTTTTTGCTTTTTTGCTTTAACCCCTGAACTTTTCACCTGGGAGAAAATTCTCCTGACCACAACAGAGTCAGAATAACATCTTTGGAGTTTGTCACTCTTCAACCCCGAAAAATGTGATTGCAGATTCCAACACTATGGAACCTTCTAACCATCAAGACTTTCATCCAAGACGGCACCTGGATGCTCGTTCAATGGCCAAGGCATTGTACATTTAACTAAACAAAACAGAGGTGTAGTTTCCTTCATTCACTCTCACTCTTTGTGGCCACGAAGGATCCAAGATCCCGGTGCCGTAGATCCAATGATGAGGAGATCGAGAGGTGAGTAAGGTGCTGCTTCTCACAAAGAGATGCTGAATTTGGCTCCAAAGAACAGAACGAGTGAGCAAATCCCATGCTGGCCTATTTATACCTCGATGTCCGGTGTGTGGCCAGCTATGCAAATTTTGCTCGCCAATTTAATTGGCCTTTTCTCAATGATGTCAGGGGTGTCTGGGCTCCCAAGTGTGGCCCCTAGCGTTGGAATTTGACTCAACATCGAAGTGATCGACTGAAAGGGAACTGCCAACTAAGACAAATGAGAAGGTTATATAGCGCATGGATTTAAAACTGTCTGGCTGCTACAGGTTCCATGATGACAGAACACATCATTGGAATTAATGCCACAGTAACAGGGATATTTATACAGTCATATTCTGGGCACACACTCATCTGGCTGTGCTGGATGAGCAGTGGATGGAAAAATAGGGAAGGCCCCAAGCTTTTATCAGTCCATGAAAGAGACAGAGGAGATCTATGCCATACCTTTCAGCACTGCCATCAAGCCTGATTCACACATACACACGACACAATCTCCTGCAGCCTGTTATCCAAGCATATTCCTCTTGCATGAACGAACATCCAGTAAACACACATGTGCATGCACACACGCATGCTTGTGTTTTTTCTTTCTTTTTCAGGAAAGCAGATGGACACAGACACGTGTGCAAAAGCATCCATGCACAAAACCGAGATGTAGAGATAAATCCACAAATAGCACAGCATCAGTGTAAATAAAGGGCGTATGCCTTACAGCCCCAAACAATCTGACCTACAAGCATGACTCAAACATGCACATTTTGTTATATAAGAATGCACTGTTTAATCACCACACTCGCCAGCTCTGATGGCAGTGCCACAGGGCAGCAATTCTTATTGAAGCAGAGAAAGTAGTCAGAAAAAAATAAGACATAAATGAAAAAAAAGTGTGATGTCATGGTAGACCCAATAAAGAATGTGATGGGGTGATTCAATAAACAGGACTTTATGTGTGCATATAAGGAAATGTGGACAAAGACTAGGAATTTCTTCAAAATGCAGCATATTCTTTAAAGTCATGGTCTTTTTTCCTAGATCATGGTCTATGTGTCACTTCTTCTCTTGACCCATTTGAACAACCTTCTTTTGGCCACCAAATGCCAACTCACTGATGCCCTACCGCTAATGAATGGTGAGTCTTGTGATTGGTGCAAACAGATTTCCTCTGTCTGATGGCTGCCAAATGTTCCACATTGACAAATGTCTAAAAATATAACACTTGGCCTGATGGTCACCAAATGTAATAAGAAAGGCATATGTATTCTAGGATGAGAGGGAGGACATTTCTCCCTCTGTATTATATATTCTCCATGAACCTGTGTTAAATGGACCCTGACAATCCTGCACAAGTAAAAAAAAAAAAAAAAAAAAATGAGTATGAGGGGAAAAAAAGATATAGAGTGATCATGGCCTAGAGAAAAACATATGGAGGTAAAATTCCCATGTTTTCCATCTTGCATGAAAAAGTCCCGTTAAAGATTCTTTGACTCTTGAAAGATTAATCATGACTATAATCTCGAAAGAGTTCTGAACTATCAAATGACACTACATATTTATTTACATATGTCATCAAGTAATTTACAATTTGTAGTATACAAAATAAAGCTGCAGTAACAGTTTAAGGTTCAAGGCTAACATTTAATTAGCATTTATTTAATTAACAGTTAATTAGCATTAGGTATATTAATAAATTAATAAATGATTAATACAGATTAACAAATACTGTAACAATAATTATTGATTTTTAATTAATGATACCTAATGTATTAAAACATTACCAAACTGAAATTCATTCAATCAAGCTGAGGTTTCCAAATTCAGTTACCTCTTACATCTAAACAAAGAGATATACCGAATGCAGATCAGCCAGAATTGCAGTTATGTTGTTAGTAAATATAATGCAGTTTGTGAAATCTGTCTTTCTTTGAGCATATAGCTAGTCAAATTGCAAATGTCTAAATCTACTGCAGAAGAAGGACTGAGATAAACTCCTCTCATGTGGAGTTTGGCCACATACGCCACAGACTTGGCCACAGTTTTTGGCAGAGCACACAACTCTAAATATGAAAGCACTAAGCATGATCTTGAGAGTTACGTAACTATTAATTAGAATGACAATCCAGTCAAAATGTAGTCTTTAAGCATTTGGTATTTTGCAGATTTATGAAAACTACCAAACGGCATTGTTATGTTACTTTTTAAACATATTATATATATATTAAACATATATATATATATACATATATATATATATATTATATGCATACATACATACATACGTGTGTGTGTGTGTGTGTGTTCGTGTTCTAACCCTTTGGGCTGGAAAACATCAAACTAATCTGGCAACCCTGGTGTCATTTTGCCTGGAGCCTTAATTAATTTCTGACTCGTACTCTGCCGTAAAATGTTCATTACACTGGCTCCAATTAAATTAACACACAACTCTTTTTTTTGTGATTATTTGTGATAATAAACATATGAGAGATCATGAAAAAGTGGCTCCATCAAATAAATGGGCTTCAGGATCAGTCCTTTGACAAGTAATTTGTGGGTTTGGCTAAATGTTCATGCCTAGTGGCTTACCATCAGCAAAAAACAATAACAACATGGCCTGTTTTTCCCCATCTGCTCAAAAGCTTTTTCAGTCATGACATCACGCATTAGCTGCACACTTCATATGAGCTATTTATATACAGCCTATGGCCCAGCAGCGTATGATGTCATAGCAAGAGAGAGTGGATGAAAAAAATAATTTCAACACGAATTCAAATAAATATAGTATTCATTTTTTCATTAAGTCTAGACTGCATAACCGTATAGCAAAAATTACATTCCAGGAAAACTAGCTCATAGCAGTGGAAAGGGACTACATAAAGCTAATAATTTATGAATCACTTCCTGTTAGAATGTTAATTCCAGTCTTGCAGTCTCAGATGTGATGATAAGCAAAGCAACTGCTTGATAAAACACAGCCTGCATGTGTAGATTTTTATTCATTAAAAAAAATATTAAACAACACAAACATTTTTTTAACATCATTATAAATTAATGCTAAACATTTTCTGTTGATAGAAGAGCACCTAATGTATTCTTGCTAACAAAATCCATTGCTGTTATGTAAACCATAAAATTATGCTTTTGGTTATTTGCTTATGAATATAATTCATAGGGGAAACTGAACTTCTGTAGCTGCTTTTGACAGCAGGAAATAATTATGTAAAAATCTCCAGGTTAAACATTTTCTGACATATTAATCTGTTTTATAGCTTTACAGATTAGTAAAATGTGATTTGCATACATTTCAGCTCTAAAAAAAATTGCTTAAGCAAATCTCTTTGCTGATTTCATGACCCAAATTCAGATCTTTCTAGAAAAGTTTTCTGGGTATAACATTTGTTCCTGAAACAACCAACTATCTAGTCCACTGCATCTCCTTCTGGCAATTTTAACAATATAAAAGATGTACTCAGGACTGAGTGACTTAATGTCAATATATATTAGCCGACCACTAGTTGGAGGGACAGCTCAAGCATGACAGTCCATTTATGTATTTAACAAAAACATTGACATAGTTTTACAAGCAGGATCAGAATATCCAGCTTTTCAATTATGATATATAACGTGCATAGTAGAGTCCTTTTAGTTTTATCACTAAAAGCAAGAACAGACTGTAAAATGAAATGGGCTGCTTTCATACAATAAAATGAAATATTTCTTTCATATCTTACTTTCGTATTCAGAGAAATATGTACGAACACATGTATGTATGAGGTATTGTAAAAGTACTTATATATATATATGGTCAACATTGGTTCAACGTGATCTGACTGATGTGGCTCTATTTTCACCTACCATTTAAGTGACTTCTGCATTTAGGAATAGAGGTTAGCTGGCCTCATGCTTGAGTATATGAATAGAGCTCTCAGACTGTAAGAAACCCCCAGGATAAATTGAAGGAGGAGAACCTAGAGATGGTAATTACTTTATAACACAAGATTGAAAGAAAGAAAGAAAGAAAGAAAGAAAGAAAGAAAGAAAGAAAGAAAGAAAGATATATCGGGCCAATTTTTCACCTTCACCCAAAAACCACGATGTAAATATTTTAAAACTCATACATACTTATACGCCACATACTAATAATGTAAAGTCTTACCTTGATGCGAAGTAGTTTTCTTCATCTTTAATAAATTTCCACTTTAATAACACAAAAATAAAAATGTTTTTTTTTTTTCAACTTAAATCAGTTTTTTTTTTTATTTTTTTTTTTATTTAATATTTACATGACGAATGCCTTGGCGTCCAGTTATCGGTTCACGTGTAATCCGCGCGCTGATCTTGTTCAGGTTTGTAGGGCGCTAGTGTGCATCTTCCTCTTGTCAAGAGAGCGTGACGCGTGATAAGACTATGTAGGGCGCGCGCATATGCTCACATCTGCCATGAGCGCGCTTTTTTACACATAGTCTACTGCAAGACGGCTTTGGTGGCTCGCTAGCAATTCCCTGTTTTTGTTTCAAGGGTTTTTATCAATTCACTTAATTCACTTAATGAATAAAATTAAATAAAATCAGTGTTTTGGAGCAATAGAGTTTATAAGGCAGCATAATTGGACTCCAGATATGGGGCTTGAATAACAAAATACAAAAGAGAAACACAGAGAGTGCCACTATTGATGCAACAATGGAGGATCAACACTTTCTGATCCTCTGGAGAAAAGTTTTGTAACATTTACAGACCTATGGACCAGGCACGTGCAGAGGGGGCTGCGATGGGTGCTAGAGCACCTGCTCCTTTTCCCCTTGATGCCCAAAGTGCCCTTTTGTCAAGGCAATTTTATATATATTTTTTTTTTTGTTTGTTTGTTTTTGGTAATTAAACGCCATTTTGTGAAGGGCTGCCCAATCTAACTATTAGTAAAATTAATGAATAATAATTTAGTCGTAAATAAAATTATCCACATGATGATGACCTTTCACCTGATGATCTCATCAGGGATTATGGTGCGTTCAAGTCATGTCGGATGGATCGTATTTACGAGTTGAACGCACATGAACTCCACCACAAAGTCGTTATTACGAGTGGGAAACTGGAAATTTTCTTTAAGCCCCGAGTTTCCAAGTTGGGGGCATGTCAATGAGAAACATGGCGGAATCGATGGATGGTCTAAGTTAGTTGACGGTAAATATTTGTTTAAATTGATAGTTTAGTCCTATAAACTTAAATTGGTCATGTTCTTGTTAAGCAGCTGAAATCCAAGTAAAAAAAATGCAGACCCTGTTGTATTTTCTGGTAATGTATTAAAAGAATGTACACCGCCATCTTGTGCCGACTAAACGGACTATCAATACAGAAGCATCCATTTCGATACATGTCTCAGCAAGGAGCACAGCCCTATTAAAAGCCGTGCTCCATGTGCCCCTTTTATACTTTGAGCACCTGGCTTCCAAAGGTCTCTGCACGGCCCTGCTATGGACCCCCTCGCTCACACTATCAACCAACTCGAGAAGGGTCTGGCTGCAGCTTGGCGCTTGCACTCTCAGACGTGCATTCTCAGACTTGCAATCTCAGTCACCTGTGCTTCCTCTGCCAGTGACGTCACTTGCAATCATCAACTGCATTCTCCACTGCCTGTGACACCACCCTCGGCTCATGTCCAATTTAGTATTATTTTCAGAGGAGTTCAAGAATCATTGCTGTATGTATAATATTTTTTGTCAGTATATAAATATATGCTGTGTTTAGACTTTTAATCACTGATATTCAAAAAATTTAGTTTTTATTAAAATCACTGGCCTATAAAATAATCAAGTCGTTTCGGTGTCTATCCAAACCCTTCATCAGTTGTAAAACAGGAAGTAACTCTGGCAACTGCATCCACAAAAGTCACATGATCAGCAGACATATGGAGGTCACGTGACTACTAGGTTCAATGTATAATATATGCCAGAGTAGATGGTGTTACTGCTCATGGTGGTGCCCCTCCTCCTCTCCGGGTGGAGCACCCCGATCGCTCCATGCAGTGTTGTGGCATTGTTTCCAACACAGCATTAAAGGTGTGGGACAGATGATGTCTTAAACTAGGGATGATCCGATATGAACATTTTTGAATGAACGACTCAAACCTGAAGACTCAAGATTTTTATCACAGAATAAGGCAGGAACTTTATTTATTACCTGGAGATAACTTGAAAAACACACATAAACCGTATATTTTCACAATCGTGTGTTTATTGTCTTCATGTTTTTTTCTGCTTTTTATTGCACATCTGAGAGTGCAAGCGCCAAGCTGCAGCCAGACCCTTTTGACCAACTCAGGGAGCCTTGTTGCACTTACACGTATTAGACCAGAAGATGTCGCAATTGTAAAGTATATTAACAATTGTTTGATCAGTCGACAGCCATCATTTCATCAGTGATAATGGGATCGAGCCATCGTTAAAGGGGCGGGTGGGGCAGAGGGCAAATAGCAGAGAAAACGGTGCAATATGTGTAAAGTTTCTAGTAATACTGAAAACCTTGAGCTTTTTCAGATGTGTTTAATTAGGATTTGAGCTAAACACTGCAGGATAGTGGCCCTCCAGAAAAGGAATTAGACGAATGGAAGAATCTTTCAAAGATTTTTTGTTTTGTAATAATGATGTATTTGATCTAATTGGAGCTATTTTTATAATTATTTAAAATATTAAGTAGCTTAAAAGCCACATGAAGCTTGTTATGTAGCTAGCATTGCTAAAGGATAGAGATGATCGACAGGTACCGCAGTATCCACTGTCATGGCCAGTATTGCCAGATTTCCCTCAAGAATCCTAAAACAGGACTCAAACATTCCAGTCTAAGGACAGGAAAGTCTTAAAATGTCCTGGCAGTGGTTTATTGGTTTTGAAACAGTAAGCAACTTTGGACATGGCACACATTCATCTGCAACCAGCCATGAGGCTCGATGGTCTGATTTTCCAATGTATCAGGAGCAGCTCTCAACCCAGGAAATTCAACTGAGGCTCCCCTCAAAAAAGCTGCTTGTTATCTTGGCTCTTTCTCCATAACACATCAGACTAATCCTGTCATATAGCCAATTATTTACCATTACCACCTCCTAAAAGATGGTCTGAGGTTGAGGGTTTTACTATCACACCCTCAACAGTGTCCTCCAATCTAGTGCTGGGCGGTATACCGGTTCATACCGAATACCGGTGTTTATTTTTGTTATGATATAAATTTTTAAAATACCGCAATACCGGTGTATGTCGCTTAAACAACGTTCGGAACGCGACACTGTTTGAAAGGGGTCCCTTTTCACTTTTGCACTGTTGTGAGGGAACAGCTGTATGTGTTACTAAGCGTGAACGTTCCGAAACTGAAGCTGTAGAACTAATAGAACATGATGACACAGAAGAACTCGTCCACAATATCCACATTGACCCCC